CAGGAGCAAGGAAGTGGGCCTTCTTTGTTGCAATACCGCCACCAAGATTTATAGAAAGACGGCAGCTCCGACCATACTTTAAGCTCAAAACCCAGCCTGAAGATGGTGAGTGAGATCTCGCTGAAACGTTGCCAAGACAATCTCAACCTTACATAGGAAAAGACCCCAATACAACAAAACCAGCATACCTACACCCGGGAAAATCTACGAAAACACATTATATAACCATTCCATTCTGATCTTTCAAAAACTGGTCAAGAAAGTCACCCAGATCTTTCAGGAGAAAGATGAAATCCTTGTAGGGAGTGTTTTCAGTTCTACCAGTAAATAGGAAGCTTTGAAAGGAGTTCTTGCTTATCCCCAGATTCCATCTTATTTGAGATTGCATACGTACATGCATACATATATACATACATACATACATACATACATACATACATACATACATACATACATACATACATACAAAAAATACCATACTGTTGTTTTCTGAGATAAACATTGTTATCCAGAATACAAAATAGGAGTAAGAATTGTAAGGTAAGAAATTAAAGGCATGAGGAAAGAAAAGAAAAATAAGGGAAATACAGCTAAATCTTGGGATCTCATTCATTCCAGATTAATTCCATCCAACCATAATTTTTGGAGCTCCCCTTCCTCTTGACCCATTCCTTCTCCTCCTCCTTCCCAAAATTCCTCAAACTATGTATTTATATATCCATTTCCTAGACCATCTAACAAAAGCAAATCACAAGTTTTTGTGACTTCACAAAATTAAAAACTAGGGGTGGGGGATGCACAATCAACCTGAGGTAACAATGTAAAAAACATCTCTCATATTATCTTCGAGCTAGGATCCTCATGCCAAGAGCTGCAGGAAGTGCCATGTTTTTTTTACAGTTGTCAGGTTTCTGCTATCTTAAAGGTGAGGTCCAAAGCAATCTCCAGGGGGATGCTGTTCCAGAAGGCAGGTATTGCAACAAAGAAGGCCCACTTCCTTGCTCCTGCTATATGACAATGCTTAATTTATGAGACACAAAGCAAGCCAACTCTGACTGATTTCACAGGACAGGTAGATACTATAGGAGACAGACAGATGGTCCCTCATATCATTAGGCCCTATGGCATGCAGAACTCTAATGCTTTGAATTAGCTTAGAGGTTTACCAAAAATCAGTGCAACTCATAAAACAAAGGTATTGCACAGGCTATACTTCTTAAATGCAGATTCCAAAAATAAGCAATTGAAATTCTAATAATAACTATGATCTAGGATATCTGTAAGGTGTTAAATCTAATTTGAATTCACCTATAATTAAATGCAACCCAAATCTGGTGAGCAATTCTGGAATCCTATCCCAAAGACCACATGAATTCCATTTCTCGTTATAACTAGGTCACAGTTCAAGACCTCCCTACAGGTTATTGCTACTCCTTCACAGATCCACATATAATCACATTTGATGGATGGTGAGTATTTTTTTCAAGAAATTATATAGTTTCTCTATAGTAGCGGATTGTTATTTTAAATCCATTTGCTTTTTTGATATATGAATATTCCTTTGCCCAGTGTTTTACAGAATCCAAAGAAGAAGAAGAAAAATTCTAGTAAAAACTTAGGGGAAACTAGTCAATAAATTATTTTGAAAGTAAAATATTTCTAAAACAAAAATCCTACTAACAATTTGTATGGAAGTTGGTTCAAAAGGATAGAAATAAAATCTTTTTTCATAACTCAGAATGAATTTGGATTTACTTTGGGTGCTTTTGTCTCATCCTTGGTGGCAACAGAGCAACCCATAGGATTAAACCACAACAATCTAGCAAAGAAAAATCTAAAGAATATTTATTTCAAAAAGTTCAATTAATTGAAAGAGAGATTTCCAACCAAGTATATTGAGGTAACATTGCAACCACCTAAAGGAATAATATTTCTCTGGCTCAATTATTCTTTGTACAATCGTGAAATCTTATTGGTGCAAAGTCAGTTCATAGTAACACCTGTCAGTAATACTTGAGTATAAGCATAGCAGCTACTAGAATGGGATATGGCCCTAAGTAACAACCAAATCAGTCCACTCTGAGAGGCTGAAGCTCATTTTTAAGGTGAAGATGAATATATCATTGTCATATGGTAGCCCTTAGGTTTGAAGAAGACACACTGTTGTGAAGTTCATCTATGGATATGTTTGCAGTCCATTGTTATAGCAACTGTGGATGGTATTCTGTGGCACATTCATAGTTTTCTGTCAGTTTTTGGCAGCACCTATCTTCAAACCTCATGAAAACTTCATAATAAAGGGGTCACCAACAGGTTCTGTCAGCAGCTGCAACTTCTAGTTCCTATAAATTACATAACAGTTCAAATACAATAGTTTATAGCAAGGGTGTATTGAAGAATGAGTCCCATCTGTCTGGATGAATAGGATTCTGTTGAAGCTCTATTTTTTCCTATTCACTCAGCAATTGTAGATCTTACAAAGGTTGGTTATTATTCACCAAAGATACTGTTATAGCATTGATTTTGCTTTCAAGAGTATTAAGCCATAAAGCACCCTGTTACAACTAAAGTATATTTATTAAGATATAGAGGGGAAGAATCTGTATATTCCCATTTACTTTTGTCAAATGTTTATCTGCCTTGCTTATGTCTGCTGTCATAGCAGTCAGTCTAGACACCTTTGAGCAGCTCAGATGAATTTTTATGCATTCCTAGTTAATAACTTCATTGTGGTATTTTAGGTTACTTTTAGTGATAAAAAAGTGTTTACTTGTTAAGTATTTACTTTCTGTCTCCTCTGAAGTCAGCTGCCATATTGGATTAATTAAAGAATCTTGTTGTTAAAAGCAAAAGTGTGCAAATAAACAGAGTACGCCATTCTGTATCTTCTTCCTTGGTGTTGTCATTTTGATTTTTTAGGCATTACAATAACTACATGGTTGGAACGTTTGTCTTGTACAAGAGCCTTAGCCGTCTGTTTGAGGTGCATGTACGTCAGTGGGACTGTGCCAGCCACCATATCGCCATCGCCTGTAACTGTGGTGTTGTTGCACTGGAAGATAATGATATTGTTGTTGTTGACATGTGCAACAGGCAATTTCTGGAAACCAAGTCTCAGGTGATAATACAAAACATCAGAGCCTCATCACAACAAAATGTCAAAATCATGAAGTCCTATGGAGGAAAAAAAATCACTGTATGTATATCACTTTTATTTACTATACTATTACTGATGGAGAACAAAATGTGTAAATGAAAATCAAAGAATAGTGTGACTTTTAAAACCTCATAGTGATATAGTTCTAGTCTTTGTTTAGCCAACTGATCATTCACTATTAGGCATCTTAAACAATGCAAACTGAAATTAATTCTGCACACCAATGATGTGTTATAGACTTGAATATTACTGTTAGGGTCAGAAGACTGGTTTGACTTGTTTCATCAGTCAAAAATGAATGGAGTAATATTAAGCCATCCTATGCTTCATTCAGGTAGTCAAAAATGGGAGTATTAGACTGGCAGGGGGGGGGACCCAAATATTTGGATATCGGCTAGTAAAAAGGGTGGGAAAGGTGTTTATTTTCTCTTTTAGTAGAGAAAGGGTTATTTAGCTATTTAGTGGGGGGTATTGTTTTTTATTCTTTATATTGACCAGAGTCACTGAAAGTGACTGCAGCCATATAAATTTTCTAAGTACATAAATTCAGGTGGAAAATAAATACATCTATAAAAAATGTTTCCATTCACCAGATTTCTCTGTTTTTCCAGATCTTGTTCCATTCGGGAGCTTTCGTTCGAGCTGATCTTAATGACTGGGGAATGAGTTTGACAATAAGGGCACCAAGTAGTGACTTTAACAGAACCAGAGGTTTATGTGGTACTTTTGACAGAAATAGTCAGAATGACTTCCACAGGGCTGATGGGAGCGCCTTACTTTCTCACCAGAATATTACAATGGAGGAGAATTTCATAGAAGCTTGGAGGTAAGATTTAAGTGGCAAAGTTTACACTAAAAAATGAGCCATCCTTATAAAAGCATTCAATATAAAACTCCATAGTGTGCTTTTGCAGTGATCTGCCCAAAAGCTCTGTCTTACCTTGACAAAAGAACTAGCAGGGACCTTCAGACTATATCACTAAAAATGTGTTTTGAACCTTCAGTAAAAACTTGGAACCATGATGGAAGATGTCTTATCCTACTGTATGCCTCTTTCAGTTAAATAACTAGCTTAGCACTTTACCAAGCACATTTAATGTTTTTGAAATAGACTACCAAATTATCTGAGGGCTTAATGTCTTCTTGGGGTCTTTATGTCTTTAAACATTCTCTCTGCTCCCCCATCCCCAAACATAATTCTGTTACATGTTCTAATTAACAAAAATCATATCAAACAATTCTCGAGTTTATTTATCATGGCGCACTAACACATGATCAATTATTGCATTTATTAAAACTTTTAAAGGATTTTCCTGTCACTTTTGGATCGTTAATGTAGTTTCAGCATAAACTATATTCTTACTAATGTTTACTCAATAGTTCATGCCTGTATTTAACAAATACTTGAGAAAATGTCATAATAAATCATGAAGTATTCAGGTATTAAACATATTTATCAATATATATTTTCCTGTGATTGATGGACATAGTTAAAATTTTGCTTCCAATATTTGTGCATTGTCCTCTATCATATTTTCATCACTTTCTGGATATCTACCTGTCTAAAAAGCAAGGAATCTATGATTCCAACATTCTTCATTTTATATCCCTCCTTGGGTCTCCAGTTACCAAAATTAGCTACCAATATTTACCAGTCAGGGTAAGAATGTAAAATGCTGTCTATCAAATTAAATGTATGTTTTCTTTTGTAAATTCTTTTTTGTTTCATTAGTCTGTCATCAAATGCCTTTCCTGGAATACTTTTTGTTTGAGTCACTAATATTCTCATCCAGATAACTTGCAAGTAGTGCTTCCTATATCTCACCAATTCCTTATGTATATATGTGTGTTTTGAACTGTATTAGATGTTAGTGGAATTTACATTTTGAAAAGGTAGAAGACATATTGTTGCAATATCTCTTTCTGTTTCATAAGTTTATGTGAATATAAAATTCCCAGACTTTAGCCAAAGCACTGCAGATCTTTTTCATTCCAAATCTCACTGCCTCTCTTTCTTTGTAGAAAAGGAGAGTGGGAGGCCTACCTCAATTCAGAAGGAAGCTAAGATCTATCTGACTAGAATCCAGAACCTTTGTTGTCTAACTTTTTGACATGCTTGCCCCACATTGAGTAAAGCGGAGTTGCCTTGGGCTGCATATAAAATATATAATGTAGTTTTGTGTGTATGTATTATAAATAATGTTAAAAGTTTATGATCTTGTGGGGTTGCATTATTAGCTGTCCAAGGTACAGGTGGCCCACAGGCTGTAGGTTGGACATGTCTGATCTAGATGGCGACAAAGGAAGGATTTTGAAGAAAGACTATAATTCCCTGACATAACTTTGTTAGAGGAGACTTGCACCCTGATAACACTTGAATAGATATTTAATTTATCATCATAATGCTGTTTTTCCAGCAATGCAATGCATACCACTTACTTGCTGTCACTTCGGATGGTGCAAAAATATGCAGAATGGCCTCTCCTAGTAATCTTAAAGTATAGACAATAACTTGTAGGAGTTCCTGACAGTTCTGCATATTTGCTGATTCAGCAAGGTGTCAGGAAAATAATTTGGGGTTCCAACTAGAGGGTTGCACAAGAACAAATAAAAATGAAATCCAGATATGCTGTGGGGAAAGGACATTTATTCCCAAAAGAAAAGAGGTTTGCCTGTGGGGATAGCTATAGAGAAAATGAGGTACAAGGAGGCCATTTTACAGGAGAGCTTGTTCTTGGTGTGGTTCTTGAGGGGTGTGAGTGTGTGTATGTGCTGGTTCTAGAGTGTGATATTTGAGAGGCATGGGTAGGTACATGTCATCCAGAGGTGGGTTGCTCCTGGTTCGGCCCAGATCGGGTGAACTAGTAGTAGCGGCAGCGGGAGGCTCTGCCCACCTGCCCAGATGCTTCTGTGCATGCAAAGAAGTGTTGTGTGTGCACTGCACTGATAGTAAAAAAACCACTGGTGTCATCAGTGATCTTTATTCTGGTAAACATATGGTTCCACTGAGAGACAGTTTTAATTAACTCTATTTGTATTTACAGAACCTCTTCTTTGATATATGGATTAAGTCTGGGTAACTTATTTGTGGGTTCAATGAAGTTTGAGGAAAGGTTTTTCTCCAGTTTGCTATTTGTATTTGATTAATTTATTTTCTGCTTGATTGTTAATTGTATAGTAGAGAAGGGATTCTCAATCCATTGTGGAATTTGTTAATATTTAAGGGAAGATAGAGACAATATAAGAAATAAAATATATTTTGATATAAAATTTCCCACAAAGGATACTGAATTTCAATCCTCAACAGGCTCCTGGCTTGTAAAATTCTATACAGTGAGACACATTCCTAAGGCCTTTGAAATGAGTAAGGGGCTATTTTTAATATCCCTAAAATTATACTGAAATATTATTTTTTCTACCTTGTAGAAGCATTTTTTTTTATTTATTTATCCTGATTTATTATTTTATCTATCTATCTGTCTGTCTGTCTGTCTGTCTGTCTGTCCGTCCGTCCGTCCATCCATCCATCCATCCATCCATCCATATTTTTCAGAGTATAAGATGCACTGGAGTATAAGATGCACCAAGATTTTGAAGAGGTAATTTAAAAAAAGTTTTTTGCATTCTGTAGACCTCCTAAACCCTCTGCATGCCTCATTTTTTGTGAAAAACGGGGCATGCAAAGAGTTTGAGAGGCTTGCCAATTGTTCCTTGGGGTGGGAGGGGAGCAAAAATGAGCAAAAAACAGCCAGTTTTGGGGTTAAAATGGGCCCGTTTTTTGTCCAAAAAAAGGGCATGCATAGCCTTTAGGAGACTTGTAGAGTGCTCTTGGGGGCTGGTGGGGGCAAAACTGAGCAGAAATGGCCCATATTTTGCTTGTTTTTGCCCTTCCCAACCCCCAAAAGTACTTTGCAGGCCTCCCAAACCCTCTGCACATCCATTTTTGTGAAGGGGGCTGGGTTTTGGGAGGCTAAAAATTCTGTATTCACTGTATAAGAACATCCAGATTTTTACCCTCTTTTTTGGAGGAAGAAGGTTTGTCTTATACTCTGAAAAATACAGTATCTATCTATCTATCTATCTATCTATCTATCTGTCTGTCTGTCTGTCTGTCTGTCTGTCTGTCTGTCTGTCTCTATCTATCTATCTATCTATCTATCTATCTATCTATCTATCTATCTATCTATCTATCTATCTATCTCTCTATCTATCTATCTCAAGGTGGCAAACATACTTAATACTCCTTCCTCCTTCTATTTGCCCCACAATAACAATCCTGTAAAGTGGACTGGGTTAGGAGGCAGTGACTAGGCCAAAGCCACTCAGCCAGCTTCCATGCCTAATGCAGGACTCACAGTCTCATGTTTCTTAATTGGTGCCTTAACCACAAGAGCAAACTGTATCTCAAACAACTTTGAAATTTGATGGTATAAAATTATTGTATTTTTTCTTAAAGCAATTTGGGGGATGCCTATCATTGCATATCCTTTTTTCCATAATTAAAAAGTGAGATAGAAGATAGATAGATAGATAGATAGATAGATAGATAGATAGATAGATAGATAGATAGATAGATAGATAGATGGGTGCCTATCATTGAAAATCATTTTTCCATAGTAAAAAAGTGAGCATAATTCATTCACTATGCAATAAAATATGCAATGAAATACCAGGTAGTTAGATGATAGAGTATACAATTTGTATATACATCAGAGCCCCAACATCTGGGATACATTTGCAGACAAAAAAACCCATATCAAGTTTCTAACTCTACATGCAAAGACTTCACATCATGTTATGAGTTAGACTGAGGCAGAAAAGAAGATCCAATATCCAATTGGAGTAGTTGAGTAACATCCTTATGAAATTAACTATATTCTGTGTTTCAGTACAAATGTTCATTCATTAGGCCTGATTTGTACAATATGGATTTAGTGAATTTTAAATTCAGTCCACCCAAGGGCACTTTTGAAAGGAACATAGTGAATGGCTACAAGTGTGAAATATATCATTTTCAAATCTTGCTAATGAAGATATGTTGCATTCCTTTCATCCAATATAAGATTTACAATTGTTATAGGTAGATAAAAAATGAAAACTGATTTAATATGCTTCTGTGCAGAAGCATATTAAATCCGTTTAATATTCAGCTACAGCTTTTCCTTCAAATCTTGTAAAGCAGTTTTGAATTGCCACCTGAATATCTACAAACCTATGTTACATTCTCCTAATGTTCTCCCAAGTTTACCAATGGTAGTGTAAAAAAATAGTCCAAATGATACCTTTCCTCTCCCTTCTATTACCACATTTGTTTTTTATCATGATAAAAAAAGCCCAGTAGGGCATTTCATCAAACTGCTTCTTAGAGAGGATGAAGGAAGTCTGAAAGATATGATAGTAGCTTTGTTACAGGAGGGAGTGGGAAGACCTAGAGGTAACAGATTTAGGTTGCAAAATGCAGATCTTGCATCTTAAGGGTCTTCATGGCATTTCCTCTGGAGCAAGAGCAAAATTGGTAGTTGATTGGCTCAGCTTTCCAAGATCCACAAGTCTCACAACATTGTGAGGTTATAAAGAAGGGGAACAGTTCATGAATCATTGTGCTATCTCTATGTGGAAAAGGCTTTAGAAAGTCATCGTGAAGCTAGCTTGGAAAATGTACTATTGTTCATATAAGTATTGACCCTTTCCTTTTTTAAGAAAATGCTAACATGTTTAGGAATAACATAGTATAAAACATCTGATGGTGTTTAAAATTTCACTCTGCTGCTTGAAAGTTTGAAAGCATCCTCATTTAGGGGGAAATACTTCTATTTCTTGTTTTGCTTGTTCCAGAACATGTTCTTTATTTTTGTAAAATTCTGTTTATTCCTTATAATGATAGTTGCTTTCGTAAGGGAGGAAAAAAAAAACACCTGCCCAGAGATAAATGTTATCAGATATTCAGAACTCTAGAACATCATCTTATATCAATATCATCTATGACTTTTTTTAACTCAGATTTTTTAAAAACATTCAGCAGCAGTTACTTTTCCAGATGAATTTTACTACCCTGTTGATAAAGTTCAACATTGTCACTTTGCCAGCATGCATTTGTGTTTGAAAATCATTGTAAGGGAATGTATATTTTCTCCTCTTACTCACTGGAGTAAGCATCAACATTTCCAAGATCATTAATCTATACTTTCCTATTACCTGTACCCAGCTAGAGAAAATACCTGTCAAAGGTAGCTGCTAAACTGATAAATTTGCCTCCTGTGGGTCAATAGGAAGTGATGTGTGAGGATGATAATGCAACCTGATCTGTCAAGTGCCAAAATGTCAGAAATCCACAGAAAAAGCAGGAGTGTAGATTATTGCTATGTACAGTATGCAATTTGACACTATCTGTACTTGGCTGTTAAAAATAAAATAAACAAAAGACTTGATTATTCTGTTGATCAGCTATTTAAAAGAGACTGCATTCAGTCCCTCAAAAAGTGTTCCATGTTGCTTGAACAAATTCTCTCCTTTCCAAGCACCAAGCAAAAAATAATAGAAAACAGTAATAAAAATCAAAATTTTCTAAAGAAGTCTTTTAATAAATATATTTCAATTCTACATTTTCCACAGTCCTTCCAACTCTCCCTTCTTCGAGCTCATCTATTGAAAATATAATTAATAATTGAACAATAATAAATATAAAGTAACACCACAAACAGTTGTTTTGAGCACAAACTATCATTTTGGTTTTTACTAAAGAAGCAATCCACCTTTTCAAAAATTTACATCTCACCCTTGAGTTTCAGTCTCAGGATCTACCATTCCTACCATAACCTTGCTGTAGGGTGATACAAGCAAAAGTTGATTTGCAGTAATTTACAGCAAAAACTGAACTGAATTCAGATGGGAATTCCCTTTCACAAGTGAGCTAATGTCCTCTCCTTTCCTGAGTATGTCTGGCTTTATCATGCTGTTTTTAGGAATTCTGAATGGCTCTAGAGAGAAATAAGAAAATATTTATTCTACAATTATGTGATTAAAATTCCCAAATGGTTCACCTTTTTTCAGAAGCACAAATTCTAAGCAGTTTTAAATGCTAAATTTCTTGGTTGCAATTTATTAATCTATGGATATATCAATTGCGGCAAATAATTTACAATGGTGTACACAACTGTATAAAATGGCAATCTCACCCTTACTATTCTATTCAGTGATGAAAAAATGTTTTAAATTTCTTGGTTGCAGGTCAGGTGCAGATTTGTGATAAACTTCTTAGGACTTTAGTTTATATTCTGTATGGAATGACAAGGTTATGTAATCTGTTGGGAAGAAAGTGCAGAGCACTTAGGCTTCATTTTCTTAAAGCAGAAATCACTATACAGTACTTGGCTGGATTGCAAAATTGTGCTCTAGTTCTTTGTACATGCATTATCCTGAGGAGATAATATTTCATGAAAAATATTCAGATTAAAGCTCAACTCCTTATGCATTCTACTGTAGTTACTTTGCAACCAAAAGTACAGTGCCAAAAAATGAGGATGGATGGGTGGAGTGAGGCGATAGTGCTGAGTTTGTATATGTGGCTTAGTAGTGAACATGTTCACCTCCCACTCAGAAACATTCCTACGTAGCGGTAAATGTTTCTCTCCTAGGGCACAAAGAGAAAAATATCTGCTGCGAACTCCACATAGGCATCGGGAAGGGCATCTATCTAGTTAATGCTCAGTTCAATCTAATCACCCTGACTCTGCCCCAAACAGAGACTATAGGGTCATAAAAAGGTTTTTTTTTAAAAAAATAATATTGTCAATCCAAATTTATATTCTGAGAAAATCTGCCTGAAATATTAGCTATGTGAGAAAGAAGTCATGGCCTTTGGAACTAAGGTTTTCATCTCCACCACTTGCATTTCTGAACAGACCAATGGTTGCAATGGAAACTTCCATCCGTCTTTGGCATACTGTACCTCTTGATTGGTAAACAGAATTTGCTTGGCAGATTAGAGGCTCTGCAAAGTAGTCAGAGGTCATTAGTCCTTAAAAATGATAAGCTCTTGTCACTCGTGTTACGGTTCGAATTTATATTCTTATCACTTGTACTTCAGCATATTGTTATACTCAGAGGTGGGTTCCTACCAGTTCAGACTGGTTTGGTAGTAACTCGGGCTGCCATGCCCCTGAACCGGTTCTATTGTCGGCGGCACCATCAATAGAATCTTCATCACAAAAATTTAAGTTTTTTTCCCCTTTTCTGATGTTCTGCGCATGTGCAAATCTTTTTAGCTGCAAATGTGCACATGCGCAGAGAGCAATTTTTTTGGCATGCTGAACCAGCAGTAATGCTGGTAGCAACCCACTCCTGGTTATACTTCTTAATTTATTTATTTTTAAACTAAGAATTTATATCAGTACGAGGTGTCAGGCATGCTAACTGTTTTTCCTGTTATTGTATTTTATCAGGATAGCTCCAGGGATGAGTTTGTTTGACTACATTCCATCCTCCTCGAAATGGCAGAAGACAGAACATTTCTGTTTATGTCAGAAGAAGCCTGAACCATACTTGCAACCTTTAAATTCTCTGCATACTTTTTGGAATCCTGCCCCACAATCTTTGGATTGCTATGATGAGAAAATTTATTACACTTCCATAATTCCATATCTAGATGTCACATCAGATTATGTCATTCACCTTGAAACAGATCCTTTATTAAATGATGAGCAAAGTGCTTCTAGTATCTCTAATCATTGGGAAGATCTCCAAAGAGAAAAAAGGCAAAGGTCTTTGGAATATTCACCTATTTCCTCTTTCCAAAGTCCAACTGACTTTGAAAGTTTTTCATATTTTTTCCCAGAAGATTATTTTGAAGGGAAGTGGCCTAAAATTGAGACTACATGGCCAACTCCAAATGGCCTGACCTCAGCTGAAGCCTTAAAACATTGCAAGACATTGCTTGAAAATTCTACCATTGGCTCAGCTTGCAAAGGGTTTCTTGGCATTCAACTCAATGTGGCCATTGAAATGTGTCTTTCAGATGTGCAGATTAAGGATGATCTCAAATGGGGGGAATTACTTATTCCATTTTTGGAAAATGTCTGTGAAAAAAAGATCCTTTTAGAAAATGTAACTGAATATTTTCATTCAACATATGAGATACCTGCTGTCCATCACAAAATTATTACAGCACTGAGATGTCCCAATCTCTGTAATGGCCATGGACAATGCACTATAAGGGGGTGTCAGTGTTTTGAAGGCTACAGCTCCTATGACTGTAGGATTGCCAAAGGTAAGTAAAACGTTCAATTTCCTCTTAATCGTCTTCTTTATTTCTTTACTATATTTTTATGTCACCCATCTTGCAGTTTGAGGCAACTCTTATTATTTTATAGCCTTGAATAAATGGAATGAATATCTGCAGTAAACTGTTCAAACTAATAAATAGGTTTTTACTTTTTACTAAGATTATTATAGTATCTGGTTGATCATTTTATAGAAGGTTAGAAGATTTTTGGCTAAGATTTGTTTTTACTTTAGTTAATTGGTAAAAATGGGTGAGATGATTCCCTTAAAGTGGGTATAGAGCCGAGGTGGCACAGTGGTTAGAGTGCAGTACTTCAGGCTACTTCAGCTGATTGCCAGCTGCAGTTTGGCAGTTCAAATCTCACCGGCTCAAAATTGACTCAGCCTTCCATCCTTCCTATATGGGTAAAATGAGGACCCAGATTGTTGAGGGCAATAGGCTGACTCTGTAAATCGCTTAGAAAGGACTGTAAAAGCCCTATGAAGCAGTATATAAGTCTAAGTGCTATTACTATTGCTATTGCTAAACAAATTGACTTTATGGAATTATGTTTTAGCCTTGTCATCTACATGCCAATGGAAATATAAGTCTGACAGAAGTATTATGTTAATGCAAGAAAGTTAAGAATTTGTATTTTGTTTATACAATTTGTACAGACTGACCACTGCATCCAAAGTGTCAAGGTAGTTTACAGAAGAATTAAAACATAATAACCTAGTTATTTCAGATAAATTTTATACCATACTAGTTTACTGCAGTAGTAAACTTTTTAAAACTTTCCTAAAAGTATAGAGGTTGTTGGTATTCCTAATATCACAGGGTAGTCTAGAGGATGGGGGGCATCAATGAGCTTGAGGGAGGGGTCAAATGCATCATCAGTCATGAGTTCCTTTGCATCCACAAGAGATCTAAGCGCAGCCCATCTTGAATTCATTTGACTCTTAGCTACCTCCAATTGGCTCTGGCCATTAGTAGTTTAGACTCTTGCAGAGAGCTTAAGCTTGCAATAAATCTTTATAACCATTTGAACTGCCTAGATCTTCTGATTTCCCTGGCATCTGACACCTTGTCCCTCAGTACAATGGTATATGGGGATGACTCTGAGAGACAGGAGAAAGAGCTGCAACCTAGACAACTATTGTGCAAAAGGTATTTCAGCCCAGAGAAGGAAAAGGGGCATGAGAAGCACCTGAGAAAGGAACCTCCCTAGTTTTCTGGGAAGTAAAAATAAAGGAGGGGAGAAGTGCTTTGCAGCTTTCAAGATTCTGTTACTGTAACTATTATAAACATATAATATAGCACTACTAAAGGTAGTTTATGATTTATGCTTCTTACATGGAGTACCTCAAAGGGCTGATACTCAATCCCCCCCCCCACATGGAATAGAGAGGTTCTGAATACCTTCCCTTCTGATCACATGGGGCAGCCTTATGTGGTGGGGGACACAAATACAAATCATAAATGGCTTTTAAGGCAATAATCAGTATCTTGAATTGGACCCAGGAACTAATCAGAGGGCAATGCAATGCTCTCAGCATTGATGTAAGACTGCTGAATATGTGTAGACAACCAAAGAGATAACCTTGGAGAATGAGGTCATCAGTCACTTTTGCCAGGAGAAAATTTGCTTGGGGGGGGGGGGGATTAATGGGCTGAAGAGTACAGATGGCATTTCAGAAAATGACTGAAAAATATTAAATGTTAGTCTGTTCAGAGACTTTTAATTGGTCTCCTAACTAAAACATTGAGTATAATCTTAAAATGAGGGGGGAAATAATAATTTGAATAACAACAGAATGAATTTATATTTAAACTGTGACAAAAGGACAAAGTAACTATCTAAATTGATCACTGTCATCAGTAGGTCTTTGTAACTTTGGCATTAATTGTACTAAATATGTCACTGTACAATTACTTATTTGTACCCTTGGTACTTATATTTAATTTTGTAGTTTATTCACAACATTTATAGATGTTCTTTTAGAATGTCTATAATTTATAGAAGTTATTTTAAACTTGTTCCAACCATGGAACCTGTTAGGTTTTTTTATTTAACTTTTTAAAGGATTTTTTTTTAAAAAAAAATCCCAATGAAGAGACAAAGTAGTAGTGATGACAAATTGGCAGTAAAATAAAACTTGTGCTACTTGGAATTTATTTATGCAAATGCATATGTTAAACTTATTTCACAAAAATGGATGTTCCAATTACAGCACTGCAATTTGTTTACCTTTTTCTGTTTTCACCTGCTTCAATATGGTATGCAATTGTACTAGTTTGTAGCCAATGTTCTAATGTCTGAAAAAATTGTTCACATACATAAATATTTATTAAGTCTAATCAAAAAGCAAAACAAACGCAATATGCATATGCTGGGAGAGAGAGATATCCAGGATGGGAATGACAATTTTATATTGTGAAGTTGAAAAATTATGCAGGAAAGTCACAATTTGAGATATCACTTAGAACCATCCCTTTCTTAGACAGTTAAACATAACATGACATACAGCATAATAACAATAGTAATGAATTAACATAGTGAAATTAAAATTGGATTTTTTTTCCACCATTATGAGTGCCAGACCTGTTTTCTGTCTGCTTGCCTGCCTTTGCAAATCTGATTCTCTGAACTGGTGGATATCCCATTCTGAAGGGATTTGAGGCATACATGTACAGCAGCCAAGCAATGCAATCTGACATTTCTTTATTAATTCTCATCCAGATCAATGGGACTTAGGTCTAAATAGCTGTGCAGAGGATGCTGCCATGATTATTAAGCATACCTCTGGGGGACATGTACAATACATGCATAAGCTCAAGTAAGGTAGAAACTGAAGAGGGAGGAAGAGACACACTTTGATAGTTGTTCCACAGTTAGAAATGTTGTCAGAGCTTGAGGGCAAGCAAAGAACCAGCTTTCGTGTATTTGCATGTGGCAAAGAAAAGGCAGCCATTCACCTCCTGTATGGACTGCTTGCAAATGCTTGCTGCTTGCAAGCAAGAGAGAAAGAGTAGTTATCAAGACCGAAGCAGATGGCTGAATGGATTCGAAGGGGTTTCTTTCTTTAGTTCCTCAGAATCCATTCAAATCTCTTACCCTAAAGAACTCAATTTGAAAAGCCGTTCATAATGCACACTGGTTTTTGCCCTCCTAAATATTTTGTAAGGAGCTCTCCCTGATTCCCCCATTCTCTACAATTTATGGGAAAAATATTTTAATAATGCACTTACGTTAATTAAAAGATTTATCCTAGGAACTGTACACCATTGACTGCAAAACTTTTATTTGACTTATCTAACAGTTTACGCTTATAATCTTTGGCACATAAACCTTTGTACTCTGTAAATCTCCACATGCTGATTTCTGAATTTAGTTCTAGTCAAGCACATATGTTATTGTAGTCTCAAAATTGCCGACAAACCTAAGCAAATATGCCAAGCTGAAAAGAGTTCTTAAAAATTGTCCATCAGACAAAAGACACCCAACTCAAACTCCACTGATTAAAAATCCAACATTCAAGGATTACTTTAAAATCATTTTCTACGTGCAGACAGCAATTTTAATTTCAGAAAAGAGCCAGGCACTATTCAGTTTAGCCATGTGGGGTATGAGCAAATCACAGAGTGCTGAAAAGAGTTAATAACAATCAAAACTACAATAGCTTCGTCTTTCATTATGAAGACCATTCCCTGCTTTTCTTAAGCTTCACTGATATTATAACAGGTTCAAGCGGTGCTGTATGCTTTTGTCTGTGTGCATGTATGCTTTTCCCATTTCACTTGCCTACTGATGCCTGACAAGCCTTGAAGGAGGTTTGTTTGAGAAATGTAAAACAAGGGCAGAGGGGGAACATTATTAATTTTTAATAATGACTATGTTTAACAACTCACTTTCAAAAGTCCTAAAAATGTAACAATCCACTCTCACAAATGAATATGAGCTGGCACTAGTAGACCAGCACCTTTATCTTTGAGGGTTGAGGTTCATTCTCAGAGGGTTGGTTTCTGGATGTTTCATTATCAGGCTAGGTAATATCTTCATTGGAATGTAGGGATTATTTCAGAGGTGGGTCTCACACATAACATAACAACTGGTTCGGCCGGAACCGAAAATGTGACTGTGTGCCTTCTGCGCATGTGCGCGGCATGACACGACGATTATATAGCAGCTCTGGGGCAGGTGGGCAGGCCCAGCTGCTGGTCAAAACTACCAGTCTGAATTGGTAGCAGTCCACCTCTGGAATTTTCCCTAAATGTTATCTAGCATGGTAACTAAACGTTCGGAAACCAACCCACAAGCTCAGAGAATGAACTTCCACCCTCATCCTACACCAGTGGAGGGATAAAACTGGTACGGGTGTACAGGTGCCTGCCGGGACCACTAGGTACCATTCCGGTACGGTGCTCCGGAGGGCCCACCCACCTGCCCGTGCTCCTTACCAGTAGTTCAGCTGTTCGGGGCTTCTGCACATGTGCATGGAATGTATGGCGCCTGTGCAATGCTCCACCGAGCAACTGGAGCATCACAGAGGCATCACAGAGCATTGCAAGTGGTAAGTACTCATGTGCGCATGCGCACATGTGCACATGTGCTGTGCACGTTCATGTGATGGACTCCCGGCCCCATTGCACGGTACCGGTTGCAACGGGATCCGGAACCCACCACTGTCCTACATCTAAGCTACAGTTATTCACCATTATTGCAAACCTTCATCTTTCCATTGGTATTATTATGTATAAGTCATAGTGGCTAATAACATCCCAAGTTTATAGAAGATCTGTATCTATTCACACATGATGTGTGGTTTACTTGAGCCCTACATTTTTAAAGACATAACATATTATATTGTTAATGTACATGTAAGTATTACTATAGTAGTGCAAACATATCAGTTGTAACAACTGTGAATTAGTTACTACAATCAATAACAAAAGGGATTTCAACTTTGTAGCTACTTTTTTTTTTTAATGTTTTGACAAAATGA